CAAGTCAGTGGGACACTTGGCGGAAGAGTATGACACATGGCGAAACTAGGATTCATTTATTATTCATGAGGTTACACATAGATGACCATGATGTGACAACTAAAGAGTACAAATATAAGAAGCTCGTTACATTTGAGAGGGTTTTGACACACATGATCAGGAAAGCGGCTCCAGAGGTGTTTTCGAGAAACCATTACCGTTGTAACATACTACTATCAGGGAGTACGTGAGTCAATTTATGGTATCAATGAAGGTATAGTTTATCTTGTTTACGTAAATACATTTATGTGACATTTGTAAAGAGTCGTTAGTCCTAAGTATGTGTTATGGGATTTCATGATACGGTGCTATTACTAGCTCGGTGATTTATTAAATGTTAATTTGGTCGTTACGTGTTAAATACCCTAATTAACCAAGATTTGTCAATTAAGTTAAACCTTTTTTAACAAGTTTTATTACACATACTTAAGCTGGGAAAAATATAAAAATGGATTTCTAAACTCTTTAACCCAATTTTATGATTTTTGTACATTTAAGTGTATTAAATCTTGGGAAAATAGAAGAAAAATAGCATACAGAAGATAAAAATCATCAACATTTTTATGTATCATCCTAACATATTATAAGAGTTTCTGGTAAATTTGCATGAATTTTGGATGAGTAAAACTATATTTCCTGTTTTTAGTCTATTATAAACACAAAAATTCAAGAAAAATAGATATACATTTTGAAAAATTTCTAAAATATTTTTCTGAGTCTTAAATATAAGGTACGAGCTTCGAATAATAATAAATAATATTTTCACATTCCCTAAAGTTGTTTTATGATTTATTAGAGCTAAATAAAAAGAAAATTAAAAACCTTACTAAACAGTAATAAAAATCGATGAAACTTCATGATAGATGTTTATTAACATAAAGGGGCATCCACAAATATTTCCAGAATTTATTTATAAGTGTAAGTATTTTATATGGTTTAACACTCTATTTTCTTATTATTTTCATGTAAAAACAAAGAAAATATATATTGAGCTGAAAATTTCCAGAATGCATCTTCAAACAATTTAATAACAATGAAAAATTGTTTTCTTGTTTTTGATGTCGAAAAACATGCCTAAAGGCTCAAACAATTATATAGAAAACTTGATTCTTGTGATTTTGGTAAAGATCATTGATGTTACTTTGAGAATTTTTGCAACATGTTCCAAAGACTTTTGAATCAAGATCTTTATATACCTCTTAATACATGATGTTAAGTGCTCAAATTAATTTTCCTTGATTTTTAGTGATGAATAAGACCTTTGAGCATGCAATACAAAACTAGTATTCACAAAAAGGTGCTGATTGAGCAACAGTTTTGTAAAAATTGCTAAAAATCAAAATATTGGAATTTTCCTGTGAGGTCAGATGGGTTTTAAAGCTAACGAAAAAATGCTATATTTCAGAAAAGGAATCTCGAATTTTGGTTAAGAAATGAGTGAGATATGACAGTTTAAAGTCAGGTAAAGAAATCTGGCAGATTGCATGCATGATGATTGGTTAGAAAAGTGAGTTTTCATCATTTCTTTGATTAAATCTTTTGAAATATTTTAAAGATATCATGATAAACTTATATTCTAGTCATATTTCCAGATATCAAAAGATTAAAACTTATCAAAATGTATACATGCATTTATGAACAAAATTTTGTTTCTCAAAAACTCTTAACTTGAGTTTGATGTTTTAATCCTTAAAATCGATTTTTGCACTAAGATCATGAACATGCAACTTTGTTTATCATACATGCATGGTGTTAAAACACATCTATGATGTTCTAAAAACCATTTAAACAAAAAAGAAAACAAGTTTGAAGAAGATGAAGAAGTAGAAGTCGGTTTTTGAAGTAAAATGCACATGCATGGCTTAAATCATTGTTGTGGATCTTCAAGAGATGTATGTTCTTTACCTTAAATTTATTTGTGGCTTGAAAACCCTTATGAATCTCCATAATTTCGTGGGTAAGAGGCTGTGGTTGTGGTGTTTGGAGAAAAAAAATTAGAGAGAAGGTAGAGAGAGTTTTCTAGAGAGAGAAAGAAGAGGGATGTGTGTGTGTTGGAGAATGAGAGTTTGAGAGAGAGATATGGAAAGAGAGGGGTCCGAAATTTTGAGTATAATACCCCTTTCTCATTCATTTTGTTTTATAAAATTTAAGTTCTTTTATAAAATATCTAAATTTTATATAAAATGTGCACTAAAATCAAGTTTTTATTCATAAAACCTTGATTTTTGATTTATAAATTAAGGGTAAATGTTAATGAGTTAAATTTTATTTTCCTTGAATGAATTTTTATAATTTTAATTATTATAAGATCATATTATGAGGCTCATAACTATTTTTATAGAATTTTTAAGGTTAAATTTCATAAATTTAGGTTTTTAGGGCATTTAGGGTTTTTGAGATTTGTAAATCTTTGGATATCAAAATCAATAGAATCTTTGAGACTTAAATTTATATTATGGTATTATAACTCTTTTCATAGTTATAAATAATATTTGTAACTTATTTTATCGGTTTATTGGCATTCTATGTAGTGGTTTCGAGATTCAAGCGAAATTGAGGAATCAAGTATACTAGTCCTAGTTTTCAACTTTGACTTAAGTTTCTATGAGGCTCCAACCTAATTTCTACTACTAGGTCAAGTGCATAATGTGTGTATATAATTCATGAAAAGGTGTTCGAGTCAAAGAGTGACCCGAATATGGATAGTCTCTACAGTTAAGTGGTTATAGAATTCACATATCAATGTGAAATCTAAGTACACCATCCGTTGTTTCTATCTGTTTCCAAGTTTCTACTAGGTTATAACTTAGCTTCTAGTTACTAAGTCTAATATGTGTTGTGCCTATATGTGCAACTAATTCTAGTCAAATCTAGAACCGACTCAAATTTTGACGGTTGTCACAACACGTAACACATCCCTTTTAAAAAATATGGTCATTTGATATTGGATTTATGAATATGTCTATGTAGTCTCTATTTACATGTCATGGAAGATAATAACCTGAACAAAGCCAATTGAACGAAATACCGGTAGTGATAATATTACATGTACCTTAACAATTCTTTTCCAAATTCCCAACGTTCTCATAGTTAATCGAGAACTATGTTGTTAACCATAAGCTCCGAGTGGATTCATCCCTTACTTACCATACTTAGCTAGTGGTTCTTGAGGTTTATTTTTGACAGAGTTAACAACATCGATTAGTTATGGAGATGGCTGGAGGTGAAGGTGTGGAAGTAAAGAGTGTAGGATTAGATTTTTTAGGATCTTTTTATTTTTATTTTTGATATTTGATTTGTAGAATAATAATAAAAATAGCAGTAATAATAATAATAATAATAATACTAATAATAATAATAATAATAATAATAATAATAATAATAATAGTAGTAGTAGCAGCAGCAGCAGCAGCAGCAGCAACAGTAGTAGTAATAATAATAATAATAATAATAATAATAATAATAATCATAATAATAATAATAATAATAATAATAATAAATCATTAAAAAGTTTTAAAATCTATAAGGGCATAATAGTCAATTTAGGTCAGCCTAGGACAAAAGCCGAAAAAAACGAACTACATGGATGGTCATAGTTACAAAAAGCGACTTAGGAACCAATCACACATATTACCCAAAGCACATGGACCATTTATGTAATTTACTATTATGTATAATATAAAAATTCATTCCATCCCTATCAGTCAACCAAATATGTTGATGACATGTAATGACTTATTCCATCACCCTTTAGGTGTATGAATATGGGAGAGACAAGAAAACAAAATCGAAGGCAATGCGCAAACACAAAGTAACTTAACCCAATTTCTTAATTGGCTTACTAAAATAGAATTATAAAGTTATGGTAAACTTATGCTAAAAGTTATGAGATATATAACAATATATTGTATGACTAGATATTAATATTATATGTTACATAATCTATCTTATCTGAAAGTTCAGTTTATGTAAGCAATATGCATACATTAATGCAAAAAAGACAGTGAAAAACAACTAAAATGGTGGCAACTGATCCCAAAGCATCGGCTTGATATCCAAAATAGTTTTGGACATACCATTGAATTGTTGGGTCATATGCCATCCCAGGCACCTTAATAGTTTCATCCAAATCACCATACTGTGATATAATGAGTCCTTGAATAGTCCATTGCAGAGGGCAAATCCAGTAGTACCATATCCACCACTTGGGGATCCTCTAAAAATTTAGGAAGGAAAACGATTACAAAATGCTGATAATTGAAGGTATCATATTATAAGATTTTAGCTGATAACTTTTTTTTATTAAGTACTGAATGGATGAAGTGATGCATTGATAAATGGTGTTCGGCTCTAGTAAATGACTCTTTTACCATTTTTCTAAAAGTAATGTTAAATACAGAGAGAACTTATTTATTTTTCAACTATTTCAGATATGAAATATAAACAAAAAAAAAAGTTAAAAATTTTGCAAACACTTGAATAATTTATGTTGGCTATAAATAACATTATAAATTTATTAATATTTCCCCTTTCCACACGTAAGTTATTCTATATGTATTTTATCAAAGATGCATACAACTATATATCTGTCCGAATTTACGGTCAAAATGAAACAAAGAAATAGAACCTAAGGCTTGAATGGAAAAATGATATTTATAAATAATGCATGTCTGGATAAATTGTTTTATGAATGATGTGTATTTCTTTTTTAGCATCTTAATGAGTATAAATGACTAATTTCAGTTTTATACCCTTCTATATATGAGTTTTTCTTTATGACTTAATACAAAAAGAACAACTTAACAAATAAAGTCTGAGAAAGGAATATTTCAGGATTAAGTCCTAACTTTTTTGTAAATTAGCCTTCATTTATTTTTCTTTTCATTTCCCAAGAAAGCCGTCATTTTCTTAAAAAAAATAAATTAAATATCATTTAACCAGACAACACATCAGAGCAATTACTATACAAATTCCAAAATTACAAACATTACCGGTCTTGGGATGAAGAATCCAGAGAAAAGATTGAAGAGAACGTTGATGGCAGCCGCAAAGATAGAGGCTGCTTGATGGTTTGGGGTTATAGACACAATCATGAGTCCATAGTAAGTGAAGTATAAAAAGGTAAAGAAGCTGATGAAGAAGAACCATAAGAATTTGACCACTGTCCATTCGAAGCTTACCATGGAATATACTATAACAGTATAATACATGGTTTGGACAAGCACAAAAGGTATCTCCACAATTACCTGCACGAAATAGCAATGTACTTCCATTGTTTTATTTTCGGTTTAATACATGAAATAGGAACATACATTCACAAATAGTTCAAAATGAGTGTTCGGATGGGACTCACTTAACATTCTCAAAAGATCACTCTTATATTGGGTTAAATGATAAAAGTAGCAATGTACTTCCATTGATTTTGTTTATTACAACATTGCACTTTGACAATTCTACCGAGTGATAACAATGTTATCTAAGTTCAAAGAAAATTTTCACGGATATAATTGGCTACAAAAGTCTAATGCTATAATTGTATGTATTCTTTTAGTACAACACCTTAAGAAGAACAAGATTGAAACTACACCGCTATAGTAGAAAGTAATGGAAGTAGGATGCTATAACATACAAATATATGAAAGTATGATACCATTTCTTACATTTATCCCCTAAAAGTATTATTTTATGAGGACAATCTTTATCCCTATGATAAAGACGTATTTTCAAAGATATGATTCCTAGTTTCATGTTGATTATATACATAAAATCAAATCAACAAAATACTAGGCTTTTCTTGCCAATCTTCGTATATAATGAGTCAGGTGATTTATAGGCTGAAATTTTTTAGTTCAGGCTGAGAATGATCTTATATATTGAGTATATAATGACTATTCATTTTAAAAAGAAACAAATCTTTTTCCCAAAAGTAATCTCTAAAATTGTCACGTACTTTGATTGATCTGTTTATTATAGCATCATACTTTTATTTCTCTCTATTAATTAAAATATTTTACCTAAAAAATATACCCTTATAGAAATGCCATCTAAGTAAAAAGTATTTTATCACTGCTTTTATAGATAGACTTTCCAAAAGTATGATGTTATAATATGAAAAAGTTGAAATGACGATGCTATAATTCGGTAGAATTTTCATAGTGCTTGATAAGAATTTTTTGAATGTACCACACTGTAAAAGAATGAAATTAAATTATCATATTATAAGTGATAAATAACATAAATGAAGTTTCATCTAACCTGAGCCATGGCATATGGTAATGCAGAGTACATCCCAGCTGCTTGTTCTCGATAAAATACAGTTCTTTCAAGGGATGCAACTGGTATGATTGTTACACAATTGTTAAATCCAGCAAACATCACAGCAACATACATCGCCCCGATTATAGTAGTTAAATCAGTGCTGCTGTCTCTGTCATATAAAGTGTAGATATAAACCTTGTTTTGATAAATATATTAACTAGAGTTTGAGTTTAAGGCAGTGTTGGGTATGATGGAATTGGGGGCAAGAGAATTGTAATAAAAAACTGTTACTTCCATTAATGGAATAAAATGCACTATTCATATGAAAAGACATTCCATTTCAACATGCCAACCAAATATAATCATGTACATGATAATGGAATAAGGAAGGAAATGGACCGAGTGATTACATTCCATGATCATGTTTGATTGGACAGTAGGAATAGAATGAACTTTATATCATATCTACATGATGTATTATATAAGCTTCCACATATTATTTTAATTATAATTAACGAACTTTTCGATGCAAAAATAAAAAAATTAAACATAATAATATCTTGAAAAACCAAAATAAGTTATAATATCTTTTAGTTATTAAAAAAACGTTTATTCAAATAAATTTTCTAAAATGCATGTGTCATTAACAATTCCACAAACAAATATGGGTTATAATGCTAGGAATTAAAATTAACAAATTGTTAACGAATCACATTCCTTGAGGAATGTTTCAGTGCATTCAATTAAACATGTTTTTTTTCATCCAAATGGGATGCGCCATTAATTCCCTTACTCCACTATACCAAACAATATCTAAAATTTCAAGAGACAAACCTTTTAGTGCCAACTTTCCAAAAGATTGTCCCAAGGAGGAGAGCAGTAACCAATGCAAAGAAAAACCTAACAAGGTTATAATCAGGGGTTCTCCAATAACTGGACCATTGTTTCTTTATGCAACACTTGAATTGGCCCCATGTGGACTGTGAATACTGTGTTTTGAAGGTCAGGTCTTTTACGCCTGAAGTACGCTTGCTCAGTTGTTCCACCAGAAAATTATTTTCTCTGATAAAAAAATCATACATTAGTTTCATAGTATGTTTATTTATCATAGTCTTATGTTGTCCTAAGTTAAAAAGAAAGATCTTTGTAGTCTTAAATAGCTAAAAGATACACTTACTTATACAAGGGTGAGGATCTGTAATGTTCAGAGAAATCAGTTCCAAGTCGGGATTCAGTTGAATCTGAGGTCACTTCCAACATCCATGTTGCTGGATTATATTGTGATTTGAGTTTTGGGACCCCAGGAATTTCCTAAAATATCTAGCAAGATTAATATGTTCCCTGATAAATATCTATAAAATGAAAAAAAAGGTCAAAAACTATTAAATACCTCAAAATAGTTGATTATTTTTTCTGAATTTTGTCCTAAGGGTCCAAAGTATATCACTTGTCCCCCTCTTTTCAGTAGTAGAAGCTGATGCAACATATAACATAAGTATGCGTGTGTGAGAAAGAGAATGATTAAATGCAAGAAATCGCAATATACTTTCACTTTTATTATATCATCCTACTTTCATTTCTTCCTATGACAACATCATACCCTGAAAAACCTACTCAATTATGGCAATGTCATCCAAATCCAAAGAAATTTTGAACACTTTAAAAGTATAATGTCCTAATATGAACTATTTGAAAGCTCAATGTTATAATTGAGTAGGATTTTCAAAGTGAAATGCCTTAACAAGAAAAAAAGAAAAAGTACAATGTTGTAATAGAAAGAATAAAAGTAGGATGCAGTAATAGACAAATATGGTGAAGTACATTAATTTCTATTACTGGTATTTACCTCGTCAAAAAGCTTCAAAAATATCAATGCTAGGCTGGTGAATTGTGCAAACCACCGTTCTCCCTGTGTCAACGGTGTTTCTCACTGTTCTCATAACAATGGCTGCGGCTCTTGCATCGAGACCGGATGTTGGTTCATCCATAAATATGATTGAAGGATTAGCAACAAGCTCTACTGCAATTGTCAATCTCTTTCTTTGTTGTGTGGATAAACCGGTAACCCCCTCAATCCCTACAATAGAGTCTTTAAGATTGTATAACTCCACTAAATCCATAATTTCACTCACAAAACGCAACATAAAGCAAAAACAACATAGTTTAGTAATTTCCTAGAAGGACTACATGCAAGAAATAGTTGAATATTTATATATTTCTTTCTATTATATCATTGTATTTGCAACACTTTTTCTTGATAAGACATTGTATTTAAAAACTACCCATTATAGCACTGTATTCCTATTTGTTTCCTTTCAAAGGAGTAAAATCTACTTCGTATTTGGATAACATTGCTATTATTGGGAAGATATGTCGAACTACAATGTTGTAATAGGAAGAAATGAAAGTAGGATGCTATCATAAACAAATCAATGGAACTGTATTGCTATTTTCCATAGTTAACCCTTTTCCAAGTATATTTGTATTTACACTTTGTTTTTGTATGAAGGCATTGTGCTTTGGTAAATTATTTAAAGGACAATATGTTGTAATAGAAAGAAACGTAAGTAGCATTGTTTAATAAAAAATCAATGAAAGTATGTTACTATTCCATGAATTTAATGTTGTCAATGTATATATGTGTATTATGGCGTCCTCTTTTTTCGTTTATTTCTATAGCATTTTACCTCCAGTTTGGTTCTTATTATAGTTTTGGAAAAAAAAATGAATTCTAAAAAGCATTGCTATAAATTGGTACATTTTTCAAAGTATAGTGTTGTAAAAAAATTAATCATAAAAGTATATATGATATTTATTGTAAGGTCTTGTGAATTTGTAATGTTCATATACTTTACCAGCTTCACTTCTTTGCTAGCTTCTTTAGGGAGTCGTTGAAAAGCAGAGAAAACAAGAGATTCATAGACAGTGACTTGTGGTGAGTGGATATCAGTTTGCTCACAATAGCCTGAAACCCTTGCAAATGTTTCTTGTTTTTTGGGGAATCCAGATATTCTAATATCTCCTTGTATCAAACCACCCGTTTTTCTTCCTGCTAAAACATCCATTAGTGTTGTTTTCCCAGCTCCACTTACTCCCATTAATGCTGTCAGAACTCCAGGTCTAAATGCACCAGTGATCTTCTGAAGCAACTGAAGTTTGTCCTCTTTCATCCCTTGCTCTTCCATTTCCTGTTAGATTCATTAGTACAAAATATTTTACATGGTGAGTTTTATTATGTTGGCCAAATGTATCCTTAATCATGAACAAGGTACTTTGAAAACAATGATTTATACAAATGGATTGGTTTTCCTAAACCCTATGGTTGGTTGGAATGGAATAAGATAGGTAATAGAATGGGTCATTGCAGTCTATGATCATGTTTTCCTGCGTGTAGAAAGGGAATACACTTTATATTATTTGACACTATCCTTTATATTATTTAATCATAGTTATAGAATTTACTATATACAGCAACTCCATTTCAGGGGCTATAATCAATTATCATAGTTTTTGGCGTTATTGTGTTATAAAACTATGAAAGTAAAGAAAACATTTTGTCTATTATTATTTTCTACCAATGGCACATTGTATGATAAGTAAGTTAATTACCACTAACTAAAGACAATTATCTAGTAAAGAAAAAAAGAGAATTGTGTTATGATTGAAATCTAACATGTGCTTTTACTCAGTAGGGATTTATATACCTTCAAAATATTATTTTGTTAAATGAGTGTTGGACGCAAAAAAAAGCAGAAATAGTAAAAGTTTTTCTTACTGGAGGCATATCAACGTAATAATTAATGTTGATGAAAGACATGGTGAGTGGAGTAAATGGAAGAACCATTCCCCTCGTTGAATCAATAGGATTGGTGGCTGCTATACTTGAATTTTCTTTGGCATCTCCTGTAAACAACAATAAGTAATTCAAAATGAAAAATCAACATTTTTTGGTTGATATTATAATTTATAAATGACATTATTCCTTACGTTCTTCGAGGATTGTTTCCATTTCGTTTAGGGTCTCTTTGGATATGACTGCTTGTGCCTTTCCAAGTGCTAATATTTGCAAAGAATGCATAGATAAGTCAACCTCATAGCTATATGTAGATATAGATATGCCATTTTTAGCATAAAATGAATTGGAGCTTACGGTTTAAGTAGGTGAGAGACAAAGTGAAGAGAAAGTTGAACACAACTGCGAAGCCAAGAAGAACAGCTACTCCTATCCAAAACATGTTCTTATCAGGAGTGACGTCGAAAGTCCTCAAAACTGCTACTCCTAGTTCGGTAACATTGTCTGAAGCCTAAATCCATAGGAATCTTTTAGTTGACCATATTCCTATAAAAAAATTATTACATTTTTGTGCTGATAATAGCAAGGTAATTCATGCTTTACTCATTATAACAATGTGCTTAGATTTTGCTACCAATATAAATATGTACTTTGTTTCTTGTGTATTGTTGTTATCGGTGAAGAAATGCAAGTATATTGCTATTGTTAGCAAAATATATTCATAATTTACAATTATGAAGAAGTTTTATCACGTTTTACTTTTTTTATGTAACCTAGAAAAACTAAAGAGTAGCAATAAAGGTAACGGTAGAAATAAAGATTGCAACAAATGGTAGCAAACTGACGGGTCTAGCCAAGTATGAAGAAATTATGTAGGTGGTAAATGAAGTATGTAAATTATCTTCATTTTGCTTGTTATTATGTATAAGTGAAATGAAAAAAATAAATAACTAAATAAACGTTTTTGTTCTATATGCTATTTGTTATATCTCCTAATTTAGTTTCTCTTAAAATTATATCCATCAACTAATACGCACAAGAAATTGCAAGTATGTTGCCATTTGGGCTAGCATATTGCTATCATTAGTAAAATAATGTGATTATGTTGCCATTATATATGGATAAAAAGTGCAAGTACATTGTTATCATGTGGAAAAAAAATATATTGTATATACCGGTAAAAGGAGTATTTTTTACGACAAATCTAATCTACTCCTAACCTAACACATATAATTCCACCTATGTCCACAACAGGACTTAAGCCCTTGACCTCAAAGAGGGAGGGCAATACCTGATACCGCTGGGATAGAAGTCATTTGGTGGTAAAAGGAGTAATTATGTTACTACTTCTTGCAATTTTGCCTTTTAATATCTAGGAACACCGATCATTGATTTCCATTGTACGTCGAGAATGGGTTTCCGAAGATAGAGTAGAAGAAATGTATTAACGACATACCATTTTGTTCATCCATCTTGGAGAAAACATTTCGTTTATAGTGAAAGCATTGAAACCATAACTGAACGGCGAAACCCAATAAGCCCATCCCCACCACTTTGGAATTTGACCTATTACATGGGACAAAAATTAAGAAGAATTAGATGAAGGGCTAAATGCAAGTAATAGCAACATACTTTCATATTTATGTGTATTGTAACATCCTATATTCCTATCTTTTTCTTACAAATTTACAACATTTTACTTTGAGATTCTTTTTCTTTAATTTGGCATTGTATTTTTATAATCTACCTAGACATAGCATTATAATTTAAATACTTTTTATTATAGCATTGGGTAGAATTTTAAAGTATAATATTGTAATAGGAAGAAATAAAACTAGAATACTATAATAAACAAACTATCAAAGTACATTGCTTTTTATTACATTTAACCATTAAGTGAATGTAGTCAAAAGGAAATTTAAAAAATGATAATACGAATTATTGATATTATTTATATTAAATATTGTCCATATGTCATTGAGTTTTAGTGTGAAACGAACCTTTAGGGATGATGAAACCACCTACAAGGAATGCTAATTCGACAACAAGAACACCACCGGTATTGGCTATTGTCATGGTCCTACAAATTGAGGCAACTAACCTGAAGAGTCCCCCAGCCATTTGTTGTATCATAAATGTCAATAGCCATTGCTTCAAGAACCTGGATATGAAGCACCATTTGTTCATGTGGATAAACATATTCTTAAAATCTATATAATTATCTACCAAAGTATGAAAACCAAATACTCTATATGGTGTTAAGTACAAGAAATAGCAATGTACTTTCATATACATTTTGTATTATAGCATTCTTCTTTCATTTCTTTCTAATACATCATTATAATTTCAATTCTTTACGCATTAAGACATTGTACCTTAAAAATAATCCACCGAATTAAAGCACACTTTCAATTTTCTTTTTCTCTCCTCTCTCTATTTTTTTTTTTTTTTTTTTTTTTTTTTGCAGTAGTTTGGTAGATTTATTTAAAGTGCAATGTTGTAATAGAAAAATATGACTATAAAATTCTATAATAAACAAATTAAGGAAAGTACGTCTATTTTTTGCATTCACACCTTGTATATTTGGTTTCCATTTATACTAATAGAATATATTAAGACGTTGACAAAATCAAATATGTCACTTACAAACTCTTAACGACACGTTGGAAAACCACATGTTTATCCGATTTCAAACGAGATATTCATGTTTTAAATTTTTCACAGAAACCAGATCATGTTCGGGTCCGGTTTCTACTTTTAAATCTCATCCCTACAAAAGACCTATATTCTCTATCCTACTAAATGCATGCAATAACTATCTACTTTCATTTATTTGTGTGTTACACCATTATACATTCCTTTGTTCCTATCACTACCTTGTACCTTAATTTTCTCTTCATATTCATGTATTTCACTTTGAAATATCTGCCCAATTAATTAACATTGTACTTTCCATTATTCTTATTATAGCAATGAAAATAACTTTATACTTGGATAATGTTGCTATAATTAATTGGGTAGTTTTTTCAAAGTACATGTTATAGTAGAAAACATATAAAGTAAAAGGGTACATGCCTCCTGTGTATCTTTCTTACAAAACATATCAAAAATTAATAGAAATGAAAAAATCATCACGTACCTGCTTGCTTCCGGGGCGAATCCGATAACGTTATATGTCACAACCGTCCACACAGTAGAATCTATGATAGATATCGGTACTCCAAGCAGGAAAGTTGGAATAGTAAAGGCCCAAGGTGGGTGAAAAAGAAGGTCCCTTTGTTTATAAATTACAGGAAGTCTCTCTATGATCATCGGAAGCTCACCAAAACCATTAAAGGTGTTAGTGATCAAGCTAAACAAAAGAGCACCCACATATATTCCCCCATCTTCTTCATTATTAGTATGCATATTAGTCTTCAAGAACACAGTTGCACCAATGATTGCAACGATTGTGGTTTGGATAATCTTGAAAATGTATATGGGAGAATTTTTCTTCATTATTAGGAATTCCTTTTGAAAAGATGCCTTCAAGAGCTCCTTTTTTGGGACCAAATATTTTTTGAAGACTAGAGCAGATTTTTGACTTGTGGCCTTGTTGTATGCTAGTGATAGGTCGTTTTGTAGCTGTAGGCCAATGTGAAATCTTTTTGAATTGCTCTAATAATTGAGGTGCAGAGATATATTTGTACGGTTTTCTTCTATCTGCCCAATATTGCTCTTGATCTTTTCTTGAGGTAACCTTTGATGATTTAAATTGTCAGTATTTGGTTGGACGAAATGGAAGTACAAAGAAATGAAATGGAATAAGCAAGGTAATACTTAAATGGTGCTTTAAAACCCCCTAAGATAAACTTATTGGATGTGTCCTAAGGTCAAGGGTTCAAGTCTCACTTGAGATAAAGGTTAAGTTTAGGATAGATTAGGGACCGTTCAAAAAAAATATATATATGTAATTGATTTCTTAAGTACAATTCCCTACTTTCATTTTTACTATTAAAACATTTTCATTATAAAAATCTACCAGTTATAGCAATGTTATCCAACTGCAAAGCATTTTTCTATGTTATAATCGTATAGATTTTTCAAACTACAATACCATAAAATATGAAACGAAAGTAGGATGCTATAATTAACCAATCAAATGAGAGTATTTAGCTATTTCGTAAACATGACCGTTTATTCTAAGCCACAGTATAAGAAAATTTTCATTGTCTTCAGTTGGCTGCAAGATGAGGATTATTTTTATTGATATAATATTTCTCCCATTTCTCTTCCTTTAGATTCACATAGTTATGTATGAAACTTGGTATCGGGTGATTACCTCTTGCAGGAAGTCAGCATGTCCTTTTCTTTCTGGACATCTGAATCCACAACTCTCAAAAAACTCAAGAACATGTTCTCTTGGTCCATGATAAACAATGTGGCCTTGTGATAAGAGGATGATGTCATCAAATAGATTAAAGGTCTCTGGTGGAGGCTGGAGGAGGGAGATGAAGATGGTGGCTTTTGTGAGGTGAGCAATCTTTTGTAAACACTTGACTATTTGAAATGTTGTTGAACTATCTAATCCTGTTGATATGTCATCCATGAAGAGTGTTTTTGTAGGTCCAACAATCATTTCTCCTGTCAAGTAACTCATCAAAAGTCAATGAGGGTCTGTTTAGTTTGATGGAATGGAATGAATATTGTAATGAAATAAGAAAAGTAATTGAATGGAATTTTCATATAACTTGTTTGCATTGTATATAAATAAAGTTTATGGTTTTAACTCTACTATATATACTATTTAATGTAATTAATGGTTTTGTATTCATGTAAAAAAAGTAAAATATACTAAAAGCTCAGTAAAACCATAATAACATTATAATGAAAATGTATTTTGTAGTTGTTTTGAAAAATAAAGTTATAATTTAATTAATATCATGAAATTATTTGGATTAGATCCGTGTTATTAAAATTTACATGGACAAAAAGTGTTGATATTTGGAAATTTTCATTTTACTCCATGATGGAATGATTACAAAAAACACTCTTAAAGAATGAAAATTAACAAAACGTAAAGAATCATATTCCAACAAGAATTGTCCATTCCATTCTTTCCCTCATTCCCATCTTACCAAATCAGTACGTAGCGCTAATGGAAGATTAACATACATTCTTTGATTATTATTATTATTGTTATTATTATTATTATTATTATTATTATTATCTCTTACTTTGTGATTGCCATGTTGAGTGCATAAAAGAGAAAAAGAGATTAAACCTGTTGTAACACGCTTTTTCTGTCCTCCAGATATTCCTCTAATCATTTCATTACCAACAATCGTATCTCGGCATATATCAAGTCCCAAGATCTGGTCAAATCAAAGTGTTCAAAATATGAATCGAAGAGTAAATGTGTACAAAAGATGCAAATGCCCTTCTTATCATTGTCATAAAAATATCCCTACAAAACTTTTCCTATCCAATTTTGTCCATATTCTACGGGCTATTACATGTAGAAGACAAAAACTTTCAGAAATATACCTTAAGAATGTAATGGGTAATTAGATTGTTGTCTGTTCCTTCCATAGCAATAGCCTGTAGTCAAGAAGGAATCTATTAAATAGGAATAATAAATCACTTACAAAATAATAAACAATATGGAATGCGTTTAAGATCGCTTTCAATTCAAACATATCATTTTCATTAGCTACAATATTCTAAGGGTTAAATCTAATAAATAGCAAAATACTTTTATCGATTTGTTTGTTATAAGCATCGTCATTCAAATAAGAAGTAAATTTCATTACTATAATGGGTAAATTTTTGAAGTATAATGTTTTAATAAGAAAAAAACTGGAAGAAAAATTCTACAACTGGATTGATTTTTCAAAGCGCTATACTGTGATAATATTAAAATTTTCAAATATAATGTTGTAATCGGAAAAAATGGAAAGTAGGAGGCTATAATGTACAAAGAAATGAAAGTATGTGACTATTTCTTGCTTTTAGCCTTGTTATAAATCAACATTATATTTATACCTTCATAAAGAGATCAACTTCAGGTTCAGGAAGTATACCATCCACCTTCTCTCGTCTTTCAAGCTCAGCTAGCAACTCTATAACAATGTAAAATAAGTTTTAGAAATCATCAAGAAAAAAGGGAAAGAATTAGCAAGAAAGATTAAATGCGAGAAAATAAAAATATACTTTCATTTATTTGTGTATTATAACTTCTTACTTTTCATGTCTTTTTTTTTCTATAATTATAATTTAATTTTTTTCTTCTTAATGGGTCGTACTAAGAATAAAATATTTAATTATATCATTAAACTTTCAATTTCTTTCTTATTATGTCATTATACTTTGAAAAATCTACCCAAGTATAGAGATGCAAATTGCTTTGTATCTGGATAATATTGCTATAAATGGATAGAGTTTTCAAAGTATAGTGTTGTAAAATGAGAAAATGAGAGTTTAATGCTATAACTCACAATTAATCAATGGAAGTATTGTGTTATTTCTTGCATTTACTCTTTATCATGAAATATAAGATAAGTTTTATAAATCACCATTATAAGATCCTGTTCCTTGGCACCTTGCAGAAAAGTCAAGTGTTTCTTTGACTGTCATTTCTGCTACATGAACATCATGTTGACTAACATATGCACATGTCCTCTGTGGTACAAATTCTTTGAGTGTATGTCCATTGTATGTTACTTTACCTTCAACCTGTGTCATCAATTTTATCAACCACAATTTTGATGACCTAAATTAGCGCCAAATGCATTAAATAAGAATGCACTTACATTTATTTTTGTATTATAGCATCCCACTTTCATTTATTTCATTTATATCCCCGTAGTTACAATTTATTTCTTATTAAGTCATTGTACTTTGAAAAAGTTGTCCAACTATAGCATTATACTTCCGATATTTTTCATGTTAGGACATTATTGTATGAAAAAAGTATCCAATTATATTAGTGAAAATTGTTTTGTATTTGATTACATTGTTTTTGTAAGTACAATAATGTAATAGGACGAAATAAAAGTAGGATATGATATTAAACAAATCAATGAAGGGGAAGTTGCAATTTCTTGCATTTAATAGCCCATTTTATTTCTTATGTTTCTTTTTAAATGAACATATCATTTTTATATTCTTATACCTTTAAGCTAGAGTCTAACTTTCCAGCCAAAGCCTGTAGAAGTGTTGTCTTTCCAGAGGAGGGTGGGCCCAATAGAAGTGTCATCCTGTTTATAGACAAAATTCGGAGTAAGATGTTTTCGTTTGACTTTTTGACTTAATGGAGACATAACTTAAATCCGGCAACCTATAGAGGAGTGTTCCTTTATGAGTTAATGCAAAAAAGAAAGACTTTACAGAGAAAAGTCAAGGATACAACATTCCCTATTTACTCCTAACTTTTTACAATTTTCCTCGATTTTTTTTTCCTACTCTTTTCCCCAAACATACCATCATTATCAGAAAAATGAGACTGTGTGCTTACCTTGAAGGCTTAATGATTCCAGAAGCATCAGAAAGAAGTGTGAGTTTTGTGCTTTTGGAGAATCTAATTCCAAGAAAAGTCAAAGCTGACTCAGCTATATTTCGGACTGCATTTCCCAAAGTTGGTAGAGCTCTATCACCAATGAAGCAATCAGCTTCTATGTTCAAATGCTCGTATCTTACTTCTACTGTTGGAAGGGTAACTTCAGCTCTGAAAGAACACATAAATGGTAACATTTTATTTCTTTATTTTTCTATTTGTAATGTCTATGTTCTGATTAAGTACACATGTTCATGGGATCTAGTCGTTACCCTTTTCTAAAATTCAGTTTTTTTTGTTCATAATAGAGTAAATTACACAAATGATCCCTATGGTTTGGGATAATTTACGCGTTTGGTCCCTAACTTTTTTTTAACTCGGAAGATCCTACTGTTTGTTTTTGTTACGCGTTTGGTCCCTGTCTTACCTAAAAGGACTATTATGCCCTTATTTAAATAAATTAAAATAGTCTTTTTATGTAAGATAAAGTGAGGTGGTGGTGGGGTTGGAGGTGTGTTTATATAAATAAATTAAAAAATCAAGGAAAAATAGTCTTTTTAAGTAAGACATGGACCAAGCGTGCAATAAAAACAAACATAGGGACCTTTCGAGTTAAAAAAATAAGTTAGGAACCAAACACGTAAATTACTCAAAACCATAGGGACCATTCGTGTAATTTACTCTTTAATATGGCATGGTACATTGGAAAATGTATCCAGCTCTAGCATTATACTTTTAAACTTTTTTTTTGGTTATTAAAGCAGTGAAAAACTGATTTGTATTTGAATGTAGGATGCTACAAAGAAAGTAAACGAAAGTACTTTGTTGGGCACTAAAAAATCACTCTGAATTAATGCACTCTGGGTATATTTCTTAAGGTAAAATGGGAGAAAAAGAAACATACTTTCTGTCATTTGTTTATTATAGCATTTGCTTTCATTTCATTCTATTGCAACATTATACTTTAAAAATGTTCTCAGTTATTATAACAATGCAACATAAATACGAAGCAACTTTTACTTCTATAATGTCTTGTTAAGAAAAATATTGACAGTGATGTAGTGAAAAGAACTGGAAGTAGCTAGGATGCCATAATACACAAATGAAAGCTAATGAAAAAGTTGTCTGTAAAAATAATTTTGGATGACTTTAGTGTTTTTAAATTAAAAATAAAACTTAAAAATATATATAAGAACTGAAAAGAGTTGGTTAATTAGAGACAAACTTATCATATCGTTCTCTGATCTTCTTCAACAACTTGCCATTATCTTCCTCAACAACATTAAGCAATTTGTCGATAAAAAGTTGATTCATAATCTTTTCATCCTTCTCTTTGACTTGTTTTAGAACACAAGATTCAGTTACACTGGTTCTTAAATGATCAAATTCTGGCAGTTTCTCCATAGCTGCTCGTTTGAGAGCTTCTTCATCTTCTCCAGCATGACTATTACTTCTGCTATGATTTGCAGTCACAAAAACTTCTTCAAAGCTCCAACTATGGCTTCCAATCGAGTTCCAGCTTGGCGTTCTTCTTCCTCGCTTTCCACTACTCTTCGACTTCTCTATCTCCATTTCAATGATTCTAAAAATTTTTGTAAAAGTAAGTGGTCTTATATAAGAATTATGTATCGTTTTATTCATTCTTTAGTTGTTGCTAGAGTGCAAAAATTGCCGGCTTTAAATCATTATATATGTTATTATAGTAATTTTTTTTTTACTATTTCTGCAAAGAGGATTTGTTAATGTTCATTCTTTTAAATGGTTAATGAGAGTACAACGGTCTAAACAAAATTTGATCAAAATAGCAAAAAGTACAAATATTTTTTTTGTACTTTACCCTAAATAAATGTATGTGTTGTTTCCCTTTTCACATTGTTTGCAACTATATAACAGTTCTTGTTTGGTCTATTTAAACTAGCAAAAAACAAGTAACAAAACGGGCTCGTCTCGAACAAATTGTGTTATCCAACATTTTTTTATCATCTTCAAAATTTATAAAATAATTAATACATTAGTTATGATTATGAAAACTATAATAATGAAATAATTATATAATTATGTTGCGTAAAACAATACAGGAAGAAAAATATATATAACTCAGTTCGAAAATATATAACTCAGTGCCATTTGGCCGGCTTTATAGTCCATAAAAGTACCTATTATTTCTTTTTAAGTTATCAGCTAATACAAATAACTCTTGTTTGGGTCTATTTAAACTGTATCAGAGGCATCTTTACATCCATCCATACATTTTATTTCATATTTGGTTTTCATTTGTAGGTCCTCTATTTTGATGTGATGCTAAAGAAGATGACACCAGTTAAAATTTGTAACGATGTCCTAATTAATATCATTTTAATTGGTGAGCACAATAAGACAGGCCCAAACTTACAAAAAACATCGAAACTGAGTCTTTTAATGTGACCGGATTACACTTGTCTCATCTTCTTGTTCATTTGATTGACATTATCCCTACTTACACATCTGATGAACAGTAACTGAGTTTTAGTATATTTTTTTAGTGTGCCAAATTACAACAAATACCTTTTCTTGTTTCACTAGTTAACCCACTTTTTTATAACTTCACGTCACGTGTTCGAATCTGGTTGACAGAGCTGGCCCAGACTAGGGGTGACAATTGTTGACACGACACGATAAAAATACACGACACAAAATGAAATTGGGACGAAACTGAAATCCGGATTCATGTTCGTGTCGTGTTTGTGTCAAGTTTAAAAATAACAATGTCGTGTCGTGTTACTGTTCAAAATTCGACACGAAATTGACACGATTTGGCATTTATTTGTCGTGTTTTTCATGTTACTCGTGTTTTTCATGTTATGTATGATTAAATATTAATTAAATTAACAAATTATTGTATTATATTATTTTTGTCGTGTCGTGTCGTGTTTATCGTTTTTTAATTGGTTCGTTTTCGTGTTAGTTAGAAAAAACACGAAATCGTGTCGTGTCGTGTTCGTGTTACATAAAACCTTGTCGCGTCGTGTCAGACAAAAACACGACACGATGACCCGATTTGTAACCCCTAGCCCAGACTGTGGGCAACCCGGGCAACTGCCCAGGGCCCATGTCCCTAGGCGGCCCAAAATTTATGGGTTATATTGTATAATTATAGAAGAATTTTGTTTATATACATTTGTGTTTTGGGGTTATATTATATAATTATAGAAGAATTTTGTTTATATACATTTGTTTTTTGGGCCCAAGTTAGCCGAACCTCAAAATAACCCAAGAAAGTGGACTGGATTATGATTAGAAGCTGGAGCGTGTTTAAGAAAGTGTGAATAAAGAAAGCGTAAACAACATAATGGGCCCAAGTTAATGCATCGAAGTCTCAGTTTTCTGTTGATCTTATAATATTACTTCCACATTCTCATAATCTCCTTCCACCATTCCCTTTCTATACTCCTCAGTTCACACTCTCGAATCTTGACAGAGTCACATACCCACTCTCGAATCTTTGCTTCTCAATCTTGACAGAGTCATAGATTTCCGAATCGATTACTTCAATCCCTCACTATGATTTTTGAAGTGATTATAAGGTTTAATAAATGCTTTTGATTTTTTATTTCCGCATTTTATTTATGTTTTTTTGTTTCTGATTTTTTTTATTGTTTGTTATTCTCGGTTAGGTTCTGATTTCAGAATCTATTACGTTCTGCTTACTAATTCGATTAGGTTCTGATTTTGTTTATGCTTTTCACTCACCAATTTTTGTTTGATCAAATATTTTGTAAAATCATAATTTTTAAATTGCAATTTTTTTGATATTTGCTTCTCACTTGATTTGTTCAGAGTTTCAGCTTCACTGTAATTTATTGTAAAAGATTTATCAGTTATAATGTGGGATGTTATTGTTCAAAGTTATTTCATGCTCTTGTACATGCGAAAGTAATGATCATTACACAAATGATGAAATAAGAAATTCAAGATGAAGACGATTTAGTTTCTGGAATCAGAGTTGTTGAGACGGTTAGAGTTAGTGTTGAATTCATTCTTCTTGGTGCAAATACAGTTCAAGTATATGAAATTAAATCAGTTTTGGGTTATATTTTCTTAAAACAACTCAAATTGCGTAAATTTGATTTGTAATTTATGGTCACAGATGTGATGATGTATCATGTACTGGTATGATTAGGTATCAAAGTTTTGTGAGGAGCTCAAGGACTTTATGGGAACTCATAACTTTTTTGAAAATAGTATTTTGAGTTAACTTTTATAAACTAAAATTATTTTTTCTAAATTTGAAATGGTTTTATTACACATATTGAACTTTTGAGAGTGTAACATTAAAAGATTACAACCTAATAAAGAATGGAATGGAGATGGATTTATGAAAGAGAATGAAAACATGGTTTCTAACTGATTAAAAGATGGAAAAAGAAAGAAGTTATTTCTGAATTGTTCCATGAATAATATATCTTTAGATGTTTTTTTTAATGTGTAAAAGTGTGCTTTTAACCATTGTAAATAAAATCATTATGTTCATATCATTTGAAGATAGGATAAGAAACACCAATTCCACATTATCTAAAAGGTACTCTAAGAGTTCTAAGACTATATAATCACATACCTTCCAATGCCTAATACGGCTTTGTTGCTTTCCGAGTAGTTATAATGATGATTAAGGCCCCGTTTGATACGCATCTTTCCAGGTCCAGAATCTTTCTGGCTGAATGGATCGGAAAGACTGTTTGATTTGCACAAAAGAAGGGGTCTTTCCCGGTAAGACATGTCTTTCCCAGAAAGCCCCAAAATCATATCTTTCTGGCTGAATGGGCTGGAAAGACAATTATACACCAAACCCCGCCTCTTTCTTTCTTTATTGGATTATTAATTTTTTTAAATAATTTTTTTAAAATTTATTTTTTATTGAATTATTACTTTTTTTCATCATTCAGTACAGTCAATCAGATGTACAATCAAACAGCATGGTTTCTTTCCCAGTCAGAAAACATTCCCAGACAGCACTTTACCAGACAGCACTTTACCAGACAGAAACTATCAAACGGGACCTAAGTCACAATGTGTGATAAAAATCATCATCATTCAACACCAGTCTATCTTCGATTAGCTATTCTTCAGCAAATGAGAATTTTATTATACTTATGACGTTGGGGGACTTTTTTTTTTCTTCTCGTCCCAGGCTCAAAATATATTTGGACCGGCCCTGCTGGTTGGGTATGCTTTTTATTTTCTGGTTTCATCATATGGGTTTAGAAACCATTAGTTACACTATAACTAATACAACCAAAAGGCTTCTAGCTTAACAATATCAGGTGTTGTTCTCTCCATGAGTTCGAGGTTTCAAGTCGTGTCCGGGACATAGGTGGAATTAAGAGTAGTTTACAGTTATGTTATATTTGTCGTTCCAAAATAATAATAATAATAATAATAATAATGATACAATATTAATTGTAATTTAAATCTGTTTATGACCCACTATATTGGTTTGGTGTTAAATATAATTTAGTTCTATTTCGACTTTTTTGTTTTTTTTTTTTTTTTTAAAAACTTTGTAAAAGATCACTTAACAAAAGTTAACTATATAGTTTTATAACTATTCAGTTGTTTATAGTTTTATATTCTTAACAAAAATATATTATTTAGTTTATAACTATTTATAGTTTATAGTTTTATACCTTCCTCAAGAATTATCTTGAATCATCTAAGTCACTTCCTGAATCAATTCCTAAAAACCCCGCTAACTTTACACACAACAAACTACTATATTTCCTAAACTTTCTTGGGAATCCTTAACTCACTTGTCCTCACACTACCAGGAAATTCTACTAAAACTGTCAGTTGTCTTATACATGCAAATTATACAAAAAGTAAGATCACACACTATCAAATAAATGATTCAACCCTAAGCCCACAACCAGACAAGGAACAGGAAATAAGGCCAAACCAGTCATTTATTCTAGGGCTATATGATCTTGTATACAGTTTTTAAAGCATACATTTAGTAATTAACCGAGCCTATATAAATCCTGAGTAATACATTGCATTCAATCTCCCTAGTCTATAAGGTATTACACAAATAAGGCAATAATAGCATGCAATACACATGTAATCATATAAAACATAACAACACATATGGTATTTCGGAAAAACTTACTTGAGCTCGGCTGATTGTATGCATCGTATCCCTTTTCTTTTACAAAACTTGTTAGAAACAAAATTGTCTTTCTTTCTTTCTTTCTTTCATTTTAAATATTTTTACCAGCCCCTTAGTTTGAGTTCAAACACACTCAAATGTGGGTCCAAATCCCTAAAACTAAGGCTCTGATACCAACTTGTAACGTCCCAAAAATAGTAAATACAAATTTTCTTTAAGTCAAACAAAAAAACCATTCATCTATTCCAAAACAAAATCAAAGTACAAGAAAATGTATCATAAGTCATCAGAGTACAAAAAAAATATAAAATGCAGAACACTAGTGGATGCAATGCAATCAAGTCGAGCTCTTCCCTTTGGAACCGGAAGTACATGAAACATAAAGATGAAATCGTATGTAACATCCCAAAATATTGATCATTTTTTTCAT